ATATATATATATATATATATATATATATATATATATATTATTTATATATATATATATATATATATAACACAGAAGCATGAATTTACGAGGTTACTTTAACCACTTTTCTCCCGATTGCTGCCGACCGAAGATTGGCACAACGGAAAGAGTTTTCGATGGACATTTTTGACCAAATCAGATCTTTCGCTCAGAAGTTTATCTATCAGAGTTTAGCTTCGCCGTGTACACGTAACGGACATGCAAACATATATACACACAACATATACACGAGATCCCACACACGCGGCATTGTAAACATTTGTTTATAATTTATGAGAATCTCGAGAGCACATTTTTTTTTACGCGATCTCTTCCATGACAGGTGTACCTAATTATTACATACTTACGGGTTTAACGAATCATCAAATCGCGTTATTTCCTCCCCCTCCCCCTCCCGATCATCTAGCTATTCTTTAAGCTAGCTCAGCTCAGAGCGCATAATAAACGTTTTTCTCCCCCCTCTTTTTTTTCTTGCTCTCCTTCCTCTTCTTTTTCTGAGTTTTTTATATATCTTAACGGTAGGCGATAACGCTGTTTAGATGTTTTAAGGTATTTATTGGGCTGCTATGTGATTTGTTGGAAATTATTTTGAGAGAACTTTTTTAATTGTGAGAGAGCGCAAGTGCCCGGAGCCGCAGCTGCAGCGACTACCGCAGCGGCGGCAACAACAAACAGCAGCTTTTTAGGGGAAAAAAAAACTGCGATGCGGTGCGACTTCGATGCTACGTTTGTTGCACACGCCTCCGTGTATGTAATCGACTATTTTGCGAGAGGGATTGTACGCTTGCGCGAGAGCGTGTAGCAACAAATGGCAGCGACGGGCAAAGGACCAAAATGTACAATCCGCGTTCGCCAATTATCCAAATTAAATCACTTTACGACTGGTATTCATCCCATTATTATGCGCGACGCATTAATAAAAGCATCGGAGAGAGAGTCTCGGAGATTCTCACATTTGTCCGTGATGTGGATGAGCCGATTTTTTTCGAGACATCTTGTACTTGCGAGGGCATTGTTGTGATACCACAGATGCAGCTTCATTGAAACTTGAATAAAAAAAGAAAAATAATGCGTTAACCAAACGTTGTACCTCGATACACATCCATTTATTCCGTTTAGAATTATTAGTTATTCTCATCTCGCGTTTCTTGGCACGATTTTCGCACAACATTCAGACGTAAAATCGTTCGGCACAAAAGTACAATTTTAACAACACGTTATTGAACACGCCAATATCGTATTATGTCGCACCACTTTCTCCAGCGGAGAATGCACTTGATTATTCACGATTGCGTATAAAGATCAATCTTAAAAACAAAACGCGAATCTCGAATATGTAAACGAGATTTACAGTGGAAAATAACAGAGTGAATAGCCGGCGCAATAATTTGTATCAATGGAAGAAACGAGTTTCCTTTCGCGTGTTATTTTACCGGGAATTTCATCACGTGTAATAAAGTAGCGCAACCTTATAAATAAAACCGGGGAAGTGTGACGTACGCAATCCGCATAATTGATCACGTCCGGCCTGCGCTATCTTATCCAGAATATTACTTCACTTCAGAGAGTTTTGCATCTCGACGATAATATCCTCGACTTTTAACAGACGTTCTTCTACCGTTTATATCCCACAAATATATTTCCATATAAGTGGGACGCGTCGGCCAATTTTATTCTCGTGCAATGAGGCATCTTTTCTCCCAAATTTCTGTAGTATTGTATCAACACTGATGCTCTGCACACCACCGAGATATTCTTGGAATAGTTATGAATGATGCCGGAATGATGACGAATACAGCTGATTGCGATATCATCACATTACTAGTATGCGTTGAGGCCCGAAGAGAGATATAACAATATAATGATGTAATGACTAAGTATTACACATTGTACCGCGGAGTCCCTGAATTCAAGATGTAGCAACCATTTGCCTTGGGAAACACTTGAATAAATCGCCGTTTCTTAATTATTCAGTTTCTTTTTGTTTTTTTAGCAAAATCTCAACAATGACAAATGGTAGTGTCGCACGCCAACTCACACACGCACGCACGCATACAGATTTACTATCTTAATCATAGTACATATACATACATACATACATATATATATATATATATATATATGTATGTATGTATGATATATATATATCTCAATATTTACACAACTTTACAAATGCTGTCGCACCGTTAACAAGCACACTGTATAGAAATACAAACGAGCAGGTCACAAATTTGTCCTGATCCTTCGCGTTAGAATGATCCTTAGTCTTTCGCGGCCCTGGTAAAGAATTATTATTTTCTATCTTAATATCTTCCTTTTCCCGAATTTATACTCGGTACAACATTGGCTATGTTCTCATATTTGATCACCCTATTTGCCAGGATTTGTTACGCACTTTATCACGAAGCTGTGTTAGTTGTAGAAGCGCCACTTGTGTACACGACTTCTTCATACTTCAATTTGCTTCTTCAACTCTCTTTTTCTCTCTTTGATATGAACATATTTTGAAAATTTTGAAAACAAAGCCAATACCCCCCGAGAGCGTGGAAATACGCATTTCATCTTCGTAAAATTTGGCGTCTATTTATTGGCCAAAACGTCTAGGATATCCCAAAATATCAGTATCCATCATCGCGTGGACGTACGTTAATATATTTGTAAGGCGGAATCTGTATCACAATTTACTTCTCTTCATTTCTCGTTCAGGACTCGACGAGTGTCCGGTGCTGTTCGATGTGTAGTGCTTATTCTCTACTTTGTCACTTGTCTCTAGCATTTTAACGGCTTTATAGTACTTGCAAAATTTTTCCCTGATCAGCTGCGCCTTTTTCCGATCTTCGGCGAGATTCACGGTTGAGCCCAGAATGAAATGAATGTCCTTGATGTGTTCCAATTTCAGAAGAATGATCTTGCGCTTGTTACGCGCGGTCTTTTTATCCAAGAAACTCAAATGACGCCGAAGCTTCCTATAGTCGTGCAAAAGTTGCTCGATAATATCTAAGCACAGCCATCGAGTTCTAGCGATGCATTTATCCGGCGCTTCGCCACTGCCTGCTTGGCAAATGTTGGTCAGAGCTTCAACGTGGGAATCACCGTCCAAATTCGCCAGCACAAAGTTCAGCAGATTCGGGATAGTGATAGGAACGGAAAACGGAAACACAGTGCTGTCTTCCTTTCTGCAATATTTCAGTTGTAAGAACATTAACACGTTGACTGCCACGGAATTTTTCACGATTCTGGTCTCAGAAGCCAATTTGATTTAATCAAGTGATGAAGCGACGAGATAACTCGTAGTTGGCGTCCTGGGTAAGTAAACAACCTACGAGATATCTCGTAGTTGGCAGTCAACGTGTTAAGGAAGATTTCATCATCGAACAAAATATGTTTGCACGAAAAAGAAATTCACGTTGAAAAGTGATGTCGTACCTCTTTGCAGGAAAGAATAAGATTGATGGGAAACGATTCATGCTGTATTCCCACGGCAAATCGTTGTTGTCCCCGTCAATTCTCACGAAAATCATATGGTCCATGTTGGATAAATAATGCGCCACTGTCAAGTACACATATGATACGGCACTGCAAAATCCGCAGTAAGGGGAGTGATGCATTATGACTACATCCTATTTAAAAAAATCCAATTAGCTTCTTATATGTTAAACTATCGTATAAGCGATAGAATATGACAGAACGCGCCGCAGTAAGATATTCAGATATACTGTGTGTCCATTTTAATATTTCCATTACCTCCAGAAGTATAACGGTTGTGAAAACAAGCAAATTTTAATCAAAGTTCGTTCAAATATCTCATAAACGACATAAATTTGTTTCTCAGGCTTCGCTTATCCATATTACTCGCCATACGTCATCACTAGCTGAAAAGCGATAATTTTGTCGTATCCTAACCTTGAATGGATCTAAGATCGTGTCTAGGAAGGTTTCTGTTGTCAGTTCTGGCACGCGAATCTTCGAACGTGTATTTACATTGTTACAGCTGTCCTCATTGGACGACGTTCTCTGTTTTTGCGTTTCGCAGCACTGCGAATTGTCCGAGCGCAATGTTCGTTCCAGCAGGCCTTGCGTATAGTTGTTGATAAAATCAACTAGTGCGTACTCGCTAAAATCATGATGCATGACGTACTGACTCTCCAGCTGAAATGTAAAAAAAAGGCACGAAGAGTGCCGTGAAGTGAAACGTACAAGTGAAGCGGCAAGGGTAATATAATGAAAGTTAAATTACTTCACTATCAGTCATTTTCATTTTATCATTGATCTCTTTTAAAACTACTTATTATTAAACAGTTGAATTCAGGCTCTTCACGAATAGTTTTTTTTCTCTTGCTCTTTCTCATATATTTTTATTATTAGTGTAGTTAAAGTTTTCTCCCCAACAAATTATATACTTAGTTTATATCAAAGGGACGAGATTTTCGTATAAATAAATAAAAAAATAAGTAATGTGGACAAGAAAATCTACGAGTCTTGAAGCTTACCGCGGCGTCCAAGATGACAACGGTGGTTTTATTTCTTCGCTTCGAGATATCAATCCCGAGACGTTCCGCAAAGTGGAAGTAATGTAAACTGTCGATAGCTATCAAAGCTAGTGTTTTGTTGGTCTTGCAGACCGAGTCTTTCAAGCTGATGTTAAATTGTTTCGGAGAATCTCGCGGGAACAACGACGGATGATAATTGTTGCCAGCTAGCCATCTTCTGCAGCGCTCCTTCAAGAAATTTCTTCTCACCGTACTCGCGGACAGCGGATCGTCTTTTCTCTTCGGCAATGACGTTTTGTACTTCGCACCTGCGTGCATTCTTAAAATAAACGATCAATTTACTACTCCAGTTGCGGTACGTTCTCTCGTGGATTTCATTTAAATAACATGCTCGAAATATACTCAAGTCTTAGATCAAATCTCTTAGATATGTCAGAGTTGCTATGAATCATCATACATGTTAATTACATGTGTACGTGTAATTCGCACGTGTTACCTTTTTAATTTCGACTCTTCCTGCAGTCTCATTACCGCGTAGTTCTTATTGTAATTGCACACCTGCTTCCCGCATTGCTCGACTGTCACCGTGAATACATCGGTATCCTTGCAAACACCGTCGAATCTTTCAGAAACGCTCACGCATATCTTCCTTTGCACCAATGGACTCATCGTTTTTATCTCACGCATGGTGCACTTATTCATTGCAATGTTTGCGCAGCAACTGTTGTTGATCCATTGCTGAATCGACACACTAGCAATCGGTTCTTCCTTTGCCTCCTCAACGTAGACTCTACTCTCGCTCAGAAGTTCGGCACATTCTTCGTTTCTAGAGAAGTGACGGATTATTGCTGTACGTCGTTTCGCTTCCAGACGCGTGACTATATCCTTCACTAATATATTATCCGCGCAGTTATAATATTGCAAGCCGACTTCCCTTACCTGAATGAACATTCGAATATGTTCATAAAAAGATATCACATATATTCAATAAAAAATATTTTTATGTTTACATTCGTATATAATTTATATATATATATATATATATATATATATAACATATCACTCAATAAGTCTCCGGTCTGACACATATATGGCAATACTGTTGACAGACCCATATGATTTCTGGATAGTAGCATCCTTCAAACGATACATGTCAAAATTTCATGACATTCAGATAATTAGCTTACAGGTTATAGTGGTTTTAGTGACCCCAGTTTTGTAATTTTTAAAACAATGGATAAAAAAGAATTTCGTGTGTTGATTAAACATTGTTTTTTGATGGGGAAAAATACTGTTGAAGCCAAACAGTGGCTTGATAAGCGTTATGGAGACTCTGCACCAGGGAAATCAACTATTATTGACTGGTATGCTGAATTTAAACGCGGTCGTACAAACACCGATGATGCTGAACGCTCTGGTCGCCTAAAATCGGCAGTCGTTCCAGAAAACATAAAAAAAGTCCACAAAATAGTTTTGAAAAACCATAAAGTGAAGTTGCGTGAGATAGCTGACACCTTAAAGATATCAGAAGGTAGTGTGTTTACAATTTCACACGAAAATTTGAGCATGTGTAAGTTGCTTTCGAAGTAGGTGCCGCGTTTGCTCACACCAGATCAAAAACAACAACGCGTCGACGATTCAGAGCGTTGTTTGGAGCTGTTCAAGCGAGATAAGAAAGATTTCTTGCGTCAGTATGTGACATTGGACGAAACATGGATCCACTACTACACACTTGAATTAAAAAGATCGTCAGCTGAGTGGACAGCAGCCGATGAAAGTCGTCCAAAGCGACCAAAAACTTAAAAGTCAGCTGGCAAGGTTATGGCATCCGTATTTTGGGACGCGCATGGTATTTTGTTCATCGAATATCTTGAGAAAGATAAAACTATCAATAGCGAATATTACATGGCATTATTGGATCGATTGAGTGTAGAAATCAAGAAAAAACGACCTCACATACAAAAGAAAAAAGTGCTGTTTCACCAAGACAATGCCCTGTGTCACAAGTCGATGAAAACGATGGTTAAATTGAATGAATTACGCTTCGAATTGCTTCCCCACCCACCGTACTCCCCAGATCTGGCCCCCAGCGACTACCGGCTTTTTGCAGACATCAAAAAGATGCTCCAGAGAAAGAAATTTGGCTCAAATGAAGAAGTGATTGCCGAAACTGAGGCCTATTTTGAGAACAAAGACAAATCGTTCTACAAAAAGGGCATTGAAAAGTTAGAGGAGCGTTGGAATGAATGTATCACTCTTGAAGGAGAATATATTGACGAATAAAGTCGAATTTAAAAAAAAAAATTTGTTTTTCTTAGCTAGACCGGAGACTTATTGAGTGATGTATTATATATATATTTTTTTTTTTAGATTTTAATGATTCTCTTAATGCTCTCGAGCAGAAGATAAGAGCACAAATTTGTAACATAACGCACCAGATTGTAAATGTAATTTTCCGTATGAAGCGGATTCCGGGGTGTAAAGAGAAACAAGACTGGCCCCTCGCGTAAATACGGCGCGAGAGTAAGCGCTTTCACACCAGGTGGTTGCAGCCAGAGAGACGGCTGATGGATGGAACTGCTGATCCAATTGAGGATGCTCTCGGAAATCCATTCCTTATCTTCCGGATAACTCTGAATGTTTTAATGTCGGTTTATTACCTAGAGTAGGCTAGATTCGCACGTTATACACTTACTAAGGATTCATTCCACATGAGCAAGCTTGCAGATGGATATCTGTAGATTCCATAATTCAATTCGCTAGACAACGTATTGGTCACCATAGCAAACACCAGTTCTCTGTTAGGATCTCTCTCCAATGACCGTATCGCGGTTTTGTAGAACTCCTTATACCCAGGAGCTCTATCCAACCGTGTGAAATTAAAATATCCTACGACCACTGCCTGCAAGAGAATAAAGGTGAATTAATTGTAGAAACAATTAACACAATAGTGTTATTATACTACACATCAACTCTCTGTCAAAATTTAACACACAAATTAAATAAAAACTTGTGATGACTCGACGATAAATTAATCTATTAACAGAATGTAAAAATATTTATCTGTTCTCTGAGAAGAAACAAAAATACTCGGGGCAAGTTATTCTACTAAAATTAGTATCCGAAGGTTTCACTCATTTTCATTGGTTTATACTCACGTCATAGGTGACCAACAATTCCATCAGCTGTTCTTTATGAATTATCCTAACGATGGGATTCATGACAGCGTCTAGAAAACGAATCATGTATGGTGCTGTGCGAATGCCTCTGTAATTGATACCGGGATTCCTAGATGGGTACAACATCAACACCGGATAACCATGGATCTTATTATACTGTGCTCTGCATTCCGAGTCGGGATGCCAGCAATTAATGGCCGCGAAGAATATCTAAGGACACACACAGTACACAGGTGTTTACAAATGCTCGACGATCAGCTAAATCCCATAGATCCTGGTGCTTTCTCGTACCTGCGGATGATAAAATTGAGCAACCTTTTCAAACTCTTGTCTAAGCGCCTGGCTCTCCGCGTCCCATGGGGCGTAATACATGACGAAGCTAAAGTCGGTTTGCGTCATCCTCTCGATCATCGCACCCAAGTGGCCCTTGTAAAAATCCAGTACAACAGAGCTCCGATTGAAGAAAGGTTTTGCTACCGGAGGTTTGGAGACTTTGGGCGGCCTGCAAGGTTCATGAACGTGGATTCAGCGTGTACGTTACAGCACGGGGAAACCGCAAAACTCCAAAACTCACGAGCTGTGCAGCGCGGCCAAGGCGGTGAAAGTGATGGCGAGGACGAAGCAAACGATTTCGTAAGAGAACATTTTGACGACCAGCCGCTCTTCTATCGCCAGCTCTTCCTTGTTAGCCACGTCGTTACTCGTTGATTCGGATGTTGACGTAGACGCGGACGTGTTCGGGTGCTGTAGGTTATCGACATTTTTCGGTGGGATCGTCTCGCGTTCCTCTCTGGACGTTCGTCCAGCCATCGCCTGTCAGCCGGTGATCAACGCATCGCTATCGCCTTTCTCGCCGCGACCGCCTTAGTCCTTACTTATTAGATTATGAACGTTCGGCCGGCCAACTCTGCACTTGCGACCCTCGTGCCGTGCACATTTGCACGCGAGAGCACTTTCCAATGAACTGTTTGCCTCTATTGGTCTATTCTTTTTAGCTGCATCGCTGAACAGGGGCAATAAATTAGAGCGAGACAAAATACACTTGTCTCAATCTTATTGCACCAGTTCAGCTAAAAAGAACGGACCAAATGCATGCTGGATTTGGATAACTCGTATTAACGCAGGCCATCCCATTGGCTGAGCGTCATCTTGAAATAACATGCAGCCAATGACACGGCTTTCGCGAGTAGCGCAAATTAAAAGTATTCATGAATATTGCCCTTTTCATGAGAGTACGTTAAGCCCGTATCAGACTATGGATTGATTATGATTAAATTGAATTTTGGCCAATCAATGCAAAGTTAATTCAATTCAAATTTAATAAAATTTAATGAACTTTGTACTGATTGGTCAAATTTCAATTCAATCTCAATCTCTAATCCGTAGTCTGATACGAGCTTTACTCTCATATGTAATCGGAGAGTTTGAGTGTTCAAGACGAGAGGAAGGATTAGAAATAGAAATTCAAAGGAGAAAGACTGCGATTGTCCTTCCGTGTAGCAATTATTTTTAAATATACTCGTCAACATCCTTTTTATATTTTTTTTTCCCAGAGAATGACTTAATCTTTGACTGTTACTTCTGTCAAAATTGTCAGTTGCTGAGGGGTGTCTTGTTTTGATTTGCTCAATATCTTGGTATTTTGTTGTTAAATAGCAAGATGGAAATTAAACAACATCATTATGAGCTACGTAGCGGGATTAGGTCACGTTTGCACAACTTTATGATCTCAGATCATGAGGGATCAAACTTGGTAGCAACGGAGTGTCCTTATGATATCAGAAGTAGAAACCACAGAAGATCTTATACACCTGGAGGAGCAACAAGTAGTGAGAAGTCTGATACTAAATTGTAAGTGGTTGATTTAAGTTTAGAGTATTTGCTATTGATATAACAGAAATAATAGTGTGCAAGATACATATAATCAAATGTATTTCATTACCTATATTTTTATTCTCTTAAATATCTGTAGGACTAGAAGGAATAGTAAAGTGCAAGAGGAGAACATAGAAACAATAAAAGAGAAGGATAAAGAAAGACCCATGACAGGAAGTGTAAGAAATAATCAAAACACAAAATCAGTAAGTTCTTTAATATCCAGAAAAGCAGATCAATGGTCAGACTGTTAAAACATTAACAAGCAGATATTTATAATGGCCAAAGTGAGAATAAGGAGAATGTGTCCGATTAAAAGGTTGAACAAAAGTACGCAGGTATTATACCGTGCAAAGTACTCATCAGTGATTATTTATATAAAGAGAAAAAGAAAAATGACCCTTGGGGTGAATCAGGATCGGTTTGTGAAACTTACAAGCGAACTGATAGACTATGGAAGTATGTACATCTTGAATTTTATCATGTATTGCATGTATCTTTGACTATTTATGAAACAGCCTTAATGCTTCTCGCTGGCATAACAGCAAATATTCCTATCTATCCTGCTTGACTACTGTAAATCTTATACTACTTCGGAGTCATGATCTTCCTGCTAGAGAAAAATATATGTGTGTATGTGTGTATTGTTTGTAAACATTAATTTATAGCCCAAATTAATGATATTGATGATTGAGATTGGCTTTAGAGGATATAAACAAAGATTGATCGGCACTTTGGTGTGCTTATGTCAATAATAAAATTATCAGCATATTCAAATATATTTAAATATTTCAGTATTTATTCGGAGACAGATTATATGTGTTCACAAACATCACAATATCATTATGAAGCAGTTCCGGATGTGCTAGCGATGCCTAACGTGTCAAGGCAGTTTATACGCAAAGACGACAATACAAACAATTTTGAATATCGGTCGGTAGTCGGTTATCAAAATCAGATTTCACAAAGAACAACTGTTGTTTCGGAAAAAGTAACTTCTTTATTTCATTTGGTAATCTTATTTGCGCAGCTTTTCAGTATGTGTGTCGCTCTTTTTGCAAATAAAATGTTAATATATTTATGTCGTAAAACGTGACCTGTTTCTGAAATTTTACAGTCCGATGATATTTCGCTTACATGCGCATTAGATTCTGCAGGAAGATCAGCTCTGAACAAAAGCATGCATGCAAGACAATATGTATACGTGAATTCAGCTTATGCGGATTCAAAAAGTTCCTTAAATCTTCGGCAAAGGTTTCAGATGTTTTCCTCATTCTTATGATAATTGAAACTCGTTAAAAGTAAAAGTAGAATAATTAATTTTTGTGTTTATAATTTTACAGTGTTAGAAGACGGTTAATTGGAAAAAAGTTGATATGGATTTCAGTTTGGTGTTTACTCGTGCTTGGTGAGTATTAGGTAATTTTACGTTGGAACATTGCATCTCGACGCACAGAAAAGTAACAGAAAAAGAAAATTTTTTTTTACTATCGTACAAATATTTATATGAAATATGTTTCAGGTTCTTCGTATATAATTAGATATTTATTTTCTCCTGCTATTCATGATGCGTCAAAGAATGTGACAGATGAATTTTTAACTGTTATAAAGATGAACGAGAATGAAAGCAGACAAGTTGAAGAGAAATTGATCGATAATAATGTTCTGCTTAATAGAATGGAGGCGTTTGAAAAGGAACAGATGTATCAAAAGGTATAAATCGAAATTTTTACTAATTCTTATTATCCTTGTACAATCTTCTATTTAAAATTTGCATGCGTATAAGTAGGAATATCTCACGAATATCACCCGCATCTTGGAAGATTATAAAGAAAGGCAAGACGATTTGCGGAAAGAATTTAATGTAAGTTTTCGATTATATCGTTGCTCTTCGGCAAAAAAAGCCCGAGTACAAATTTTAGACAATAATTATATGACGGTTTTATGAACTCTGATATTCCTTGCAGGACATAAACACTGATATAGCAGATAAAATGAATATCAGCGGAGAACCGAACAATATAATAAATAACGAACTCAAGATGATCAGACATGAATTGGAGAAGCTGCGCAATTTTTCCGCGAAATTGGAATCTTCTGTAAACAATTACATCAAGATACAAGTGGAAGAAATCTTATCCGACTATTTTTATTATTTTCCATTTGAAATTTTGAAGAAGAATATAACGGAAAATGTGCTTAGGTCATGCAGTATCGAAGGTATGGGAATAAGATGCAAATCCGATAAACTTTGCCACGATTCGCCTGTTGAGAAACATTCGGATTTTCTTAATCTGTTTCAATCGTACACAGTCAGTAACGATGACGGAATCACGAATATACTTTTGCAGCTCAGGCAGTTTTGAACAATGATTCGAGCGATTCGAGCACTCGCATTTCGGAAGAACACGTTCGCAAGATAGTGAAGGATATTCTACGGATATACGACGCAGACAGGACGGGTAAAGTGGATTACGCTTTAGAGTCAGCAGGTATTGCAATCGCTCCGACGAGAGTAACTCCGAGCATGTGGTATTGACAAGTAAATCGATATACATTATGTTTACAGGAGGTGAAATTATCAGTACACGGAACACTCAGGGGTACGACGTCAAGTCGAAAGTTATTAGCATCTTAGGTTTTCCATTGTATTACCGATGCTGTAACAATAATCCACGGACGGTGATACAAATGAATGTAATGCAGCCAGGTATTTGCTGGGCATTCCAGAATTTCCCCGGATACCTCCTGATACGATTACGGAGCATTATTTATGTAACTGGTTTTACTTTGGAGCACATCCCCAGAATAATTATACCGTCCGGGAACATGTCGAGCGCGCCTAGAAACTTCAACGTGTGGGTATGTAATAACAGTTACTTTTTCCATGTAATCCCTGTATTTCTTCTGAAATAATTCTACGTTAAGATTCAAAAACTGCTTGAAATACTTTGGGTGTATTACAAACACATTAGAAAACATCTTCTAATATATGTTGATAATTTTTTATAATTTCCTTTTATATGAGATTATCCTGAGGGGATTGAGATGTAAATACTCATAATTTGCTCTCTCTCTCTCTCTCTCTCTGTGTGTGCGCGTGCGTGCGTGCGTGCATGCATGTGTGTTCATATTTATCATTCTTTGTTTTCTCACCAGGGTCTAACAGATGAGAATGATCCAAAGCCTGTAATATTCGGTGATTATGAATTCGTAAATTCTGATGATAATTTGCAGTATTTCCCAGTACAGGTACAAATTCTTTCATTATTGATAAAAATAATTTTCGAAGTATAAATATTGTGTAATAAATTTATAGTAATTTTACGAATTGTATTCTAACAAGCTCCTCAATATATTCTGTTATTATATACTTTATTATATATTACAAGTAGAACTTACATTTATGAATACTATAACTGATTTTTATATATAGAACACAACCATCGATAGGCCTTACGAGTATGTTGAATTGAGGATACACAGTAACCACGGACAACTAGACTACACCTGTCTGTATAAGTTCCGCGTTCATGGAATACCTACTTAGGGAATATCGATCCAATAACGTCCAGAGGTTCCTTTTTATATAAAAAAAAAACAACATTCAACAAATGACCCAGATATTTTCTTAACTACTGTTTAATATTTTAAGCTGGACATTAATGTAATTTATTTCTAATACCCATATATCATTAAAAAAATAATGACATTTGTAATTGAAAACAAAATCATATATGAAAGAAGCGATATTTGAGATATCTCATTTGCAGTTTTTTTTTTTAATCAGTCATGATGCACAGTTTAGTAGATGTGATACGTGATTGAACATTTCTAGTGACCCTAGATATAACAAATGGTCAGACATGACACCTAATGTTTTGTTACTAGACGAAAAGTCGCCACTTTGAAACTAACTTCGTGCAAACATCGATTACTAGGATTTCTCCATGAAAATTGCTTTTTGGCACCTTGTGTGTTCATACGTCAATTCATAGGTTCGCTTCGTCATAATTTTTGCGTGTTCCGAAATTTGAGAAACAAAAACTGTTGCAACCGTTTTGCGACCGAATGTACATCGAATATCGGACGTAGTGTGAATCCTGCATATAGACATCAGCTATGTTAGGTTTTAAGATCATCTTAAGATAATATGTAGCCAATAAAACGACTTTTTATTTCTTGCTGGAAAGCAACCGAAGCAAACTGATGTCTCTGATTTGCAAGAACGAACGCTATTACAAATGAAAAGTGATTATTACCCGGATGATCTCTTCCTGATATTCATAATAGGAAAAATCCTTTTTTACATGCCACAGCTTTCCGTGAGAGGTCTCCACGAGTCGCCTCGGAGCCGGCCCGGAAGAATCCCCGAACTAGAGGATTTCTAGCTACCGCTGATCGTTCCTGCTGTCGCGCGGGCGATAGGCGAATCAACGGCCTACGAATCTCTTCCTACTCGCGCGAGTTGGATTGGTTTGCTGTTTGCTGCGCGTCAGTCCGTCTTGAACTACTTGGGTAGCTGTTTGGTTGTGTCAAAAAGTGTGCAAGTTTTTTCATCTGCATGTTCGGTGAATAGCCGTATCTTCCTGGAAGTGCGTACAAAAAGTGGGTCAGTACTTCTCGTGCTAATGTGTGGATTTAAACATGGAATCGGATTATACGTCTCAATCTAACACGGTGAGTGCCGAGAGGCAGTGCAATTGCCGATGATTGAAAGTGACGATGAAACCAGCGCCGCGACGCGCCCTGAAATTTTCGGGGTTACGTGACAGGCTGGAGGAGAGATGTTTTGTGCGTATCGCGACGATTCCCGACCGTCTGACCGCGATGCATCAAGTGGAGTTTGATAATCATTATTCTTTGACACAAATTGCGTGAAAAATCTTCCTATGTTTCGTACATGCAATTATCGCTACGTTAAAATTTAATAGGATTAACGAACATACTGATAATATCATACATATATGCCTTCATGCGTCTATAAATTGCTATATGTAGAGACTCTCTCTCTCTTTCTCTCTCTCTCTCTCTCTCTCTCTCCTTCCTTTCTTTCTTTCTTTCTTTCTTTCTTTCTTTCTTTTTCCGCCTTCCTTTCATGACTCAAACCATTGCCTTTTTCTACTCATTATGAAATTTGATAAAGGTTGATGTATATAGAATATTAAAAGCATTATATTTTTATATAACTTTGATATATAGATGAATACACACATACATATGTACATGCTTATATGTATGTGTACACACCTCTTTATTATTCTTCATACTGTGTGTATTATATTCTTCTAGTTTATATATAATCTATGTAAATATTATTATTTTTTTAAGTATATATAAATATAGTTTTATTGTGTAGCAAAAGGTCGTTTGGACCTTGAGCCTTGAGAAAATAAGCGAATATATAAAGCATGACTGTTTAAATCTCTGAAAATATTTATGCTGGAGTCGCTCTTATGTGTGATCAGAGTCAGATAAT